TAGTTGAAACTTAGAATTTGAGGTGTTGACGTCCCAAAATCACCAAACGGCGTCGGAGTAGCACGAAACTTGGCACACACGACCGCCTAGGCACGAGAGACTTGTGGGAGAAGACGGGACTCGAATCGGATTCTCAGTTTGGAAGTTAGAACCGGATTTCACTTTAGACAAGCTAGTTTCTTAAGAAACTTAGAATTCGAGGTGTTAACGCCCCAAAATCACCAAAGGGCATCAGAGTAGCAAGAAACTTGGCACACACGACCGCCTAGGCACGAGAGACTTGTGGGAGAAGACGGGACTGGAATCGAATTCCCGGTTTGAGAGTTAGAGCTGGATTTTACTCTAGGCAAAATAGTTTCTTAAGAAACTTAGAATTCGAGGTGTTGACGCCCCAAAATCACCAAATGGTGTCGGAGTAGCACGAAACTTGGTATACATGACCACCTAGGCACGAGAGACTTGTGGGAGAAGATGGGACTCGAATCGGATTCCCGATTTGGGAGTTGGAGCCGGATTTCACTCTAGACAAACTAGTTTTTTAAAAAACTTAGAATTTGACGTGTTAACGCCCCAAAATCACCAAACGACGTTGGAGTAGCATGAAACTTGGCACACACAACTGCCTAGGCATGAGAGACTTGTGGGAGAAGACAAGACTCGAATCGGATTCCCGGTTTGGGAGTTAGAGTCAGATTTCACTCTAGGCAAACTAGTTTCTTAAGAAACTTAGAATTCGAGGTGTTAACGCCCCAAAATCACCAAACAGTGTCGGAGTAGCACAAAACTTGGCACACACGTCTGCCTAGGCACGAGAGACTAGTGGGAGAAGACATGACTCGAATCGGATTTTCGGTTTGGGAGTTAGAGCCAGATTTCGATCTAGGCAAAATTATTTACTTAATTATCTTTATAATTGTGTAGTAATTAAATTTTTATATTTTTTTGTAATTAACATATTAACACATAATTATATTGTCACTAATTACTTTTATTTTTTGTTTTTAGATATTTTCCGAGTAGGAGTTTGCTTCTTGTGGAATGCATGTATGTGAAAAATGTGACTAACTTTTGTTTTTGTTACCCACGAAGAATGATGAGGAAAACTTTTAATTTTGGTTTATGTCATTTTGAATTATGAACAACGTTATGTATTTAAACATCATATATGTATTATGGAACATTATGTAGTGGGGTAATTTTGTTGTTGTGTAGTTATGGATGCAAGAATGTTTTTATTATGGAGAAATTGTTATTCTATACAGGAATTTTTATATTATTATGCAATTATTGGTTTCTTTTCAATTGTTTTTCATTTAATATAGGTAATTTTAATATTTTTAATAAGTATATTGCAGTTTTTTTTTGACGGCACCATACCGTCGCAAAAAAAAAAGAGGGTAATTTTAATATTGATTATAACTATCTTCCCAAAATAACTCATTATATATATATATATATATATATTTTTTGCGATGGCACACACTGTCGCAAAAAAAAAAAACACAATTTGCGATAGCATTACTTGGGGTCTCAAATAAGACTTTTAGCGACGGTAAAATATTGCCGTCGCAAAATTTCTCACTTTTTTACATATTATTGGCGACAGTGAAATGCTGTCGCAAAAAACAACAATTGCCGTCACAAAAAAAAGGTGACGATATCATGCCGTCTCTAAAAAGTTTTTGCAACGCCCTCTGTTGTAACATCCCTTTTGCTGTTGCTAAAAGTTTTTTGAGACGACATTAGGAGTATTAGCGACGGCATTTTGCCGTGCCGTTGCAAAAACTTGAATTTTTTTGTAGTGAACTTTAATACCAATCCTTAATGACATGACAAAAATTTATTGGATAATTTTTATATTTTAATGGGATTCCCAATTGACGTGACTTAGGATACATCAATAGGGGTTGATTTGGGGATCCAAAATTAGTGGTCGAAAACATTTTCTTTTAAAAACTAACAAAATATGTAATTTTTTTTTAAAAATTTGGTAATAAATCTAATTTAAGAATTGTTCAAGGCGTTAGGTCTCATGGATATATATATATATATATATTTTGAGAAAGTACACTTTTGTGACGTATTGTGGTGATAAGTACATTTTATTATTTTGGAGGGTATTTTATTTTTAGTTTTGCCCTTTTAATTTTTATTAATAGCTATCTGTTGAAATTTTTATTCTATCTGTGTGAAATTTTATCTATGTGATTCTATCTATTGAAATTCTATCCATATGAAATTTTTATCTATTGGAATTCTTGTCTTAATTTTTAAAGTGCTGTTATTAGCATCTACTTTTTTACTCTGGCCCCCTAATTCTTTAAGCCCCCACCTAACAAAATAAGTCCCCATCGTTTCTTTTTGAACCCCCACTTTAATACCAACTATATCCTCACCCAAACCCTAGCCTCCACTCCTAACCACCACCTCCGGCACCACTATTGTCGCCGCCGGCAGCCCACCTCCAGCCTTTTTTCTTCTTCCTCTTCTTCTTTACATCCTCTATCTTAACTCCAGCAAACCACCATTGCACCACCGTGATCTAAAAATCATATTCCTCTCCACAGTCGCTTTTATAACCACTAACCCCGCTACTTCATCCTCTTCTATTCCTCTTTATCTTCTTCTTCTTTAGATCACAACCCAAATCGCGACCTAACTGCCGTCAAAACCCTTGATCGTTTCTTCTTCTTCTTCTTCTTTCCTCAAAACCCTAGATCTGAAAGTGGAAATTGAGTCGCGATGGTGGTGGGCTACGACAATGGTGACAATGATGACGAGGTATATCGCAATGGCTTGTAGATGTAGAGCTGCGATGGCAATGGTCAACGATCTGTCTCTCTTCTTCTTTTTCTTCTTCTTCTTATTTACGACTCTCTCTATCACACACAGACACACACACACACACACAAGCACACACACACATACACACAAAAAATTTTTGCGATCGATTATGGCGGCGATCCATCAGGCCATCGGTGATTGCAGAAGGTAGCGATGATGAATGGTAATAGCAGCGCCGACGATGATGGGTGGTAACAACGACGCCGACGATGATGGATGGTAGTAGTGATGCCGGTGGAATTAGGGTTAGGGTTTTGAAAAATTAGGGTTAGAGAGTTAGGGATGAGGGTAAAATTGTAATTTTATATTTGGATAAAATTGGAATTAAAAAATAAAAAAGATGGGGGGTCCAAATAAAATAGGACAGATATTTGTACAAAATTTTTTTTTGCACAAATAAAATTTATACGGATAAAAATTGAGTGTTGCTATATAAACCTCCCTATCTTTTATATTTTTTTTGGACCCCCATTGACAAATTTCAATATTCAAACAAAATATTAAACAAAGGTAATAAGACAAAACAAATAAAATCATATCATATCCATCATTGCAACACATAAAAATGCATAAAAAAATTCACTGCATACAGATTCAACAGATCATATTATTGGTGATTTACCATGTATGATAGAGATTACGATTGATGGGGTAAAAGAATGTGTGATGAGATTAATTTCACCATTAAAGCATGAAAAAGAAACAAATAAAAAGGGAAGGATGGAGAGTAATGGAGAGAAAGAGAAAGAAAAGTCACTGCGATGGTCTATCTAAATCTGCAAAGAGAAATTGAGAAAAATCAAGAGCTCTTCTTCTTCTTCATTTGAATTTGATTCTTGGCATCTCATCAGACATGGTTTTCGAGAGCGATGGAAATGAAAACATAGTCGAAGACTTTCAATGATTGTAATGGGAGGGAGGGAGGGAGGGAGAGAGAGAGAGAGAGAGATGAGAAAGGACGATAGTGAGGTTGATCTTTGACGGTGGCGCTGATCTTGAGCCCAAGGGCGTTGAACCAACTTGTAACCGATCGGTGTTCACATATCGTTGGCTTTGGACACGATCGACCTCGGCTGAAAATCATCTCTTCGTTTCTATTGATGAGACGATGGCCTATTCTTCTTCCTCTTCACGATTTGGTCCATTTTCAGTTCGGCGGTGACGGAGGTGGTGGTCAAAGTTGACTAGGGTTCAGGTCAAAAATGGAGAAGATGAAGAGGAGACAAAGTGGGGGGGGGAGGGGTGTGTGGTTTGGGGAAACAAACAGATCGAATGAAAAAGAGTGTAGGGGGGGTGTGTGGTTTGGGAAACAAACAGATTACATGAAAAATGAGGTGTATACAAAAAAATATATATATATATATATATATATGGGTAATTTGGTCATTCGCCTAAGCATGCCGTTGTGGGCAAAGGGAGCTTCTATTTGCACACACAATATACACTCTTTGCACATCCTTCTCACTACATACACAAAAAAAATTAATTCCTAATTATTTTACTTACTGTACACACGGTTCATTCCACATCTATCCTCATACACACACCCCTTCCCAGACCCTCAAACGGAGCTCTCCCAACGGTGCAAATACACCCATTGAAGCTGCATCTCTCACATTACCCTGTTCACACATTACCCCATAGCTCCCCGTAGCTCCTTGCTTCACACAGCTTTCATCCCCAAAGCTGCATCCATCAAGACATCCCATTGAAGCATTCTAGCACATTTTCAATCCTCATTCGTATTTAGGTGAGTTTACTTTTCAATCCTCATTCCTATTTAATTTGTAATGTAGAGTTTTGTTTTTACCATTTTCAAAACAAACGAACGCCCACGAAGTGTAAACAAGTTGTTCGGAATTGGTTTTCCGAAAGTAAGGAAGTTGTTCGGACGTAGAAATCTGAAAATAGTCATTTATTTGAACAATAGATTTTCAAATTTTTTTCATTATTTCGACAGTCAACTTCCGAATATTTTAAATTCGGACAACATTCAACTTCCGAAATTAATTTTTTGTTTCGGTTTTCAACTTCCGAACAGTATATATACTTTCGGTTTTCAACTTCCGAACAGTTTGTTTGTTTGTTTGTTTTTTTTTGTCTTTTTTGTTTTTTTTCCCTCCCTTCTTTTGTATATTCTTTTTACAATTGTATAGTCATCAAACATATTAATTTTTGTAAATACTATGGATTTTGAATGTCAACAACGTGTCCCATCTACTGCTTCAAATAGACGACGTCGTGAATTGGATGTTGACCATGAACGTGGGCGAGGTTGTGGTCGAGGTCGTGATCCAGTTTTAGTAGAATATGATATCCCCAGTGCCAGTCAAAGTTGAAGTTGAAGCCAAAGACGAGTTCAAGGTGATGATATGCCTGACATTGCCGTGGAGGATGTCTCTTTACCCGATTCTCCTATTGTCCATGAAGAGTACTTTACTCATGCTTTTTCAGGTGGACCGACTGATCCATCAATATTGTGGAGTTTCAATAGTTATGTCGCTGCAGCTGTTTGGCACGAGGAGGTAAACATTCTTGAGTAGAAGTGAAATTCATTTGTATATGAGTTTTTTTTGTGTGTGTGTGTGTGTGTGTTGTATGGTAGTTTCTAATGAGATATCATTTGTGTTATAGGAACAAGGGCCCCTAAAGTGTCATAATCACTTTTCGAAGATGCTTGCATGGTCATGGTGGTTAGTAGACAACAACACCAGATTCAAAGCCATTATTGAGCAGTCTGGGCTGTCACAGTTAGCTCGTTGCACTTATCGATTTGTCAACAAGCTTCTAATCTCTAGTTTTGTTAAGAGATGGAAACCTGAGACAAACGCATTTCACATGGCAGTTGGTGAGATGACCTTGACCTTGGATGATGTTGGCACTATTCTTAGCCTTCCCATTATATGCAGATCAGTCAACGTACCAGATGTGACAGATTATCATGGAGTTACACTGCTGGTTTCTGGCTTGGGGATTACTGAACGTGTAGCACATGGAGAGGTTTGTACTGTTGGTGAGAATTCAGTCAGGCTTGAGTGGTTGCGAAGTCAGTTTGCTGGTGTCGCAGATTCAGACCCAGAGAAGGCTATATAGTGCGTTGCTAGAGCTTATTTGTTGTTTCTGTTGGGATGTACGCTCTTCAGTGACAAGAGTGGTGGAAGGGTTCCTGTTGTTTACCTTAGCTTATTAATGGATTTGGGATCCATTCATACTTATGTCTGGGGTGCTGTTGCATTAGCATTTTTATACAGACAATTGGGATATGCTAGCCGGTTCGGTGTTAAGCAGATGGGTGGTTATATGACTCTTTTGGAGGTATGGATTTATGAGCACTTCCGAGCATTCTGACCTCACCAGAACATGGGCTACAATGAAGACATGCCACACGTGTACCATTGGGCATCTAGGAGAGAGGCGGGTTCCTCCATTGATCATTTGAAATCTTTTCGAGCGAAACTTGATAGTTTGGTGGCGACTGATGTAAGTTTACTCGTCCTGAGATAATTTTAACACTTTCCATTTATCTTACCCTTTATATACTTTAATTCAAAAACACTTTACGTTTACAGGTTATTTGAGATCCATACCACAGCTGTAGAGACCGACATCCATGTAACCCGGTTATGTTCTACCATGGATGCTTAAAGTGCTTAGATGTGGTCGAACCCTATCATCCAGATAGAGTTCTGACGCAGTTTGGCAAGGTTCAAACCATCCCAGATGCACCGCTAGCTCCCAGTCGTGGTGCTCGAGGCAACATATCAGCACGATATACAATCATGTATAGATACTTGGATAGGATCTGGGAGGCTTGGGATAACTACGTGTTATCTGAGCAGCGGAGGAGCACACTAATCCGTCAGCCTTGGGAATGTGTACCGGGTTACATGGATTGGTATAAGAATATCACGCACCTATATGTTGAGTAGATTGATGAACCGCGTGTCCATGACCATCAGGATTTCAGCCAACATGCCGATGTAATATATTATCCTCTTTTATGCATTTGTAACTTACTTTTTATTTTCTGATATGTTCCCTAAAATGTGATATTCTTTTCAAATGCAGCGTATTGCACATGTACTGCAGATTGCACATCCTATTATTCAGGTTGGTTATGAGGACGGGATTCGACATCCTCATCGACTTTACCAGGCTATCGAGGCTATGATGCATGTCCTTGAAGGTCAGCACATTGACGAAGCTGGACCTAGTTCTGCTGGACCTAGTTGTACTGGAGGTCTCTTTTCATCTCCGACATTGACATACAGTCGTAGGCCTAGGCGTAGGCATACAGCTATTCGTGACATGTTATTTGTTAGTTGATGAATTTTTTGTGGTGTTTTTTGTAAGATAACATTGTTGTAATGGTAACAGTGGTTAATATTTTCTTATTAGAATGGAATGGCAACAATGGTTGATACCATTGAAAATGACATTTTATTATTAGAATGGAATGGTAACAATGGTCGTTGATTTTGTAAATGATATTTTGTTATTAGAATGGAATGGTAACAATGGTCGATAACATTCAATCCATGCCACAGAATACATCAACATAAAAAACACATCCATTAATTTCTTCCATAATTCTAACATTGTCAAATGCATATATGTATCATGCGACATCAACAACATTAAATGTCTCTCGAGTAGCTACAGTATCATGAATAATGTCCTTGAAATGCTGAATGCGGCGCACATATGCATCATTCCAGTCGACAGCGCAAGGGTGATGATATTTTCGCCAATTAGTGGCTATAGGAGGAACTGGATGGCCTGGCTGCAAAAAAATCTGCACCAAATGTCAATTGAGTTAGTGGTCATACCTCATACCTGCACCAAATTGGCTCTCTTACTCTCTACAAGCAAATACTCTAATGCAAAGATAGACACATTACCTCGTAGCTCCCTGAACTGAGAAGGTTTAAATTGATGTTGCATAACAGTAGACTTTTCTCAAATGAAGCCTTGATATCAGTGTGTTGCAACTCAAGCAGATTGTGTATTTTCTCAAATGATGCTTGAAATGAGACATGACATGAACCCAATTGTCTTTTAAGTTTTGCATGTGCACTCTCAGCCCTGTTCAATTCAATGTAAGTGAAATTAAAATCAAGTACATGGCACTTATTAATAACATATTGAACAAAAATAATTTTACCGGTTGGTTGTAATATTGCCACAATGCATACACGTGTTTGTCTATGCCGTCACAAATTTCTCCTTTTAAGGAACCAACCAAGTATCCATGACGTAGTTTACTGCATTCAGATAACTACTGAATTCCTTAAGTAATGATTTAAGACGCTCATCGTATTGAATTTCAAAAGGTGAATACACTAAAGAGTTCCACTCATGGTTGAACTTCTCTCATTTCTGCTGTGTCTCAAACATTTTCTTACATTTGGTTAATATATTCTTACTGATATGCCAACGATATAATAAATGTCTGCCACTCGGGAATATCTTCTATATGGCATTCATCAAGGTTAGCTCTCTGTCAGTAACAATAATTGATGGCAAAACAAAACCATCAATGACATCACGCAATGTAGCTAACACCCACAGATAGTTATCGGCCCTCTCATACTATAAGTATGCGAAAGCTACAGAAAAAGTCATTTCAGTTGATGTCACTCCCACAATTTCAAGAAGAGGAAGACAATATTTATTGGTTTTATATGTGCAATCCATAATTAATATACGTGAGAAAGATCGAAATAAGTCCAAACTAGTAGAATGTGCCCAAAACAAATCTGTCACAGTCATCGTGGACTCTTCACATCGATGGCGCTCAATGTAATTATACTTGGCCAATTCACCCAATAAGTGTTGCATCTGTGATCTTCTAGCTCTCTGTACCACCCTGTTTTGATGGCGTACATTGTAAATGGTTTTAAGTGTGCTTACATTGAGGGCATCTCGCTGTTTCAAGGTTACTAGGATTTCTTTTGACCGAACCATGCTCTTTGACATATTCATTAACAATGCTTTCTCATCCTTTGACAGCCTCTCCGCATATGAATGTCTCTCAAGGTGCTCTGCGGGTGGATGGTTATGCAATCCGCATACTACGGTCAATGTCCATTTATCATGTGTGGTAAACTTGTGAGCCCTAATATCAAAAGGACAACCACACTTCTTCGTACCGGTTATTCTTGATGAATTGTTGCCATCATGTTTTAACTTCTTTGTCGCTCTATATTGGCCACTCCTCTCACAAGCAAGATACATCTTGGGTCTTTTTTTCCCTTCACCATAGTCTGATGTTTTGATTACAATGACCAATCCATTTCTCTTTCCAACTTCACGTACCCAGTTGAGCAATTCATCCTTACTTTTGAATACCTACAAAGTCAAATAAATATTATCAAACATTTACATTTGTTGAGCAATTCGAAACATAATCATTATAATTTCATAGAGTGAATCTGTTCAGTTGTGAATTCAGTAGTGTAATCCAACACATTATTTGCGCAAACCTGACTTTCTTGAGTTGACACATATTTCTACATGTTTTGTATAACATTACAAAATTTTAATGGCATTATAAAGATTTATTTGCAATTTGAAACTGTAAATTTGGTATGCAGTTTACAAATTTGGAATATAAAATGGAAAAAAAAATTTACTTCATTCGGAAGTATAGTGTTGAACAAAATTCTAATTTTCGGAAGTAGTTGTTAGTTTTAAAATTTCGGAAGTTGAATGTTGTAAAATTTAACTTATTTCGGACAACAACTTCCGAAATTAAATACTTATTTCGGTAGTAGATTTCTGAACAAAATGATATAATTCGGCTCTAGTTATTCGAATGACATTGAATAAAAAAACAAGACTTTTACATTGCAAAATTCACATTTCCTTGGCTATCTTTCTCATAAACATTTATTTGCTTCTGAAAATTTGAATTTACAAAAGAGATATCCTCCATAACAATGATGAATGAGGATGAGGTTAGTGTGTAAACTAATGGAAATGGAAAGCTACGAATGGACTTAGAGCTTCAATAGCTTCAACAACTTCAATGGACTTGGATCTTCAACAGCTTCAACAACTTCAATAGAAGAAGTAGCAGCTACGAACTTGGAGCTTTAACAGCTTGAACAACAGATGGATGTGAAGTCTAGATGTGTATTGAGACATTTGTTTATTTGAATTGGGTATGATGTCTAAAATAGTCATTTCACTTAGGGATAAAATTGTAATAAAAATAAATATCATTAAGTGTGTGTATAGAGTGGATTTGGTATGTGTAAATAGAAGCTCCCGTGGGCAAAGTATTAAGCGCATGGACTTTTGGTCCAACAAAATTCATAGTTTGATGAACCGACCTTCCATTTTTAAATTATATAAATTAAGTTTAGAGTAAATCACTCTTAACTCCTCTAAAATTTCAAAATAATATAGCAAAAAATTGTTTTTGATTTTTGATTTTTTTCGTATTTTGTTGTTTTTAGTGATTTATTTTATTTTAATTATTTTTTTAGATGCAACTAATTTAAATATACTTAAAAATAAAATATTTGTACATATTTCTAAAGATAATTCAATAAATAAAAAATTTATGAAAATGTACTAACTTTTTTTTAATTTTTTTTTTGTATTTAGTGATTTTTTTAAAAGAATTTTTTCATAATTTTTGTAATTTTTAAGTTTATCTAGGTTAAAAAACCTAAAAAGTAAAATAACTTAATTACAATATTTTTTTAAAAAATGACTACAAAAATAAAAAAATATGAATTAAAAACTTAAAAGTTATTTCTGAAAACTTTAAAACCAAATAGAGTGACGTAAGACACTACAACATATAAAAGTTTTGGAAATCAATTTTTTTTTGATTTTCTAAATGTGAAAATTTTGTTGCAAAAAATATTTAGGGACCAATTTCTATTGTCGTGACGATAATCGTTAAAAAGTCATCCCGAAAAAATAAAAAATAAGACTTTTAAAGACAAAATTTTAAAAATGTCACTAATAAATGCTCTTTTAGAGACAAAATAGTTTGGTCTAAAAAAAGTTTACTTTTTAAGACAAAAAATTTGGTCCCAAAAAGATAATAATTCATTACTAATGTCCAATTTTCGTTGCTAAAAATATAATAACGATACTTTTCGCAACAAAAATATTTGGTTCCTACAACATAATTTTGTCCCTAAATTTTAGTCTCTAAAACTTTAATTTTTGCGTCAGGATCCTCTAGAGTGAGAAGCCTAGAGTCATCTCCTAGAGTGATCAATCCAACGACTGACATTAAACCTCACCAAAACACCGTCGTTTTGGTGGGTAATTTGAAAAAAAAAATTCAATCCATGGCTCTGCTCTCCTTTTCTCTCACTATATTTTCTCTTCTATTTTCTTGCTCAAGAAAACCATTCAAAATCAAGAAATCTTACAGACCTATCTTTGAAAATCAATCCATGGCTCAAGAAATCGAAAAACCATGGATTGATTTGAAAAAAAAAAAAAATTCATTTGGAAGGAAAGATAAGACAGAGCATTCAAAGTTTCTCTGAGAATCACAGCAATGTAAGGCTCAGATAAACCATCTGGGAACAAAGAAGTCATGATCAATTGAAGAGGACTAGAGGACATGAAAGGCATGACTATCCAAAGACTATGATCCACCATGAATGAACAATGAGCTCTGAGAATGTTGGGATGAGAGAAAAGTGACATTGTCTTGGCATCTCGACGAACGCTTTCGAGATCGGTTCGAGATCGATTGATTTGATCGCTACCACAGTCGAGTTCATCGGAATACATATGGCTTTGTAGACGATTGCACTCACTCCTCGGCGGATCTCGTCGGTGATTTTATAACACGTTGAGTCGTGTGGGTACTGAACCTTTGTGGGTTTTTCGATTTCTTGAGCCATGGATTGATTTTCAGAGATGGGTTTATGAGATTTCTTGATTTTGAATGGTTTTCTTGAGCAAGAAAATGGAAGATGAAAGGTTGAGAGAGAAAAGGAGAGGAGAGCTATGGATTGATTTTTTTTTTATTTTTTCTTTCAAATTACTCACCAAAACGACGCCGTTTTGATGTGGTTTAATCTCAGCCGTTAGATTGATTACTCGAGGAGATGACTCTAGGCTTTTCACTTTAGAGGATCCTGACGCTTTTTGTAATGAGAGCATCTCCAAAGCCAAAATGGCTGTGTCAAAGTTATTTTTTTGACTTGCTACAATGCACATAAGTCAATTTTTGGTTATACCATTCCAAAGGAGATATGTCATTTTGACACAATCATTTGTCAAATTTAATTATTTTGTTTTTAAGGTTATGAAATTTGGGATGGCTTTGCCAATTTCAACCCAACGCAATTAGTGTAGGACAATCTTCACTGTATTTAAAAGATTTAATTCTATTGTGTACACAACAACAATTAGAATTTAA